AAGATTACCAACCATCCCATGCCTTTCTGGAATGCATTGGAACTACAATGAGTATTATCCATAATGCATATCAATAGTACTCTTCCCCTCAAGAACCCCTTGCAACAGCCATTCTCTCAGCCAGGTTTTTCATCATCTCCCTCCACCCTTCTCCCTGAAAAAAACAAAGATAATTTTCTAGTATCCCTTAATTTATTCCAGTTAGTCTCTCTGTGTAGGTGGCACAGCAGTGCATGCACTTGGAGAGATCATGGATATTGCTTCTGGGGGTGGGGCAATAAGAAGAGGGTATTGTGCTGATCAAAAGACCATTGATATCATGTGGGGTGTTGGCAGTAGGATGTTGGATTCAGTCATCTAGATCTCTGACCCATCTCCATTAAAACCAGAAGCAGGCACATTTAAATCTCACCCACCTAACAGCCACACGTGAATCAGAATTCCAAACCTATGTTGCATTGTGCGGTGAGTATTCTCTTTGTTATTATTTATTCACAGACTATGGGTGTCACTGGTTTAGGCCAGCATTCATTGCCCATCTCTATTTTCCTTGACCATGACTTGTCCACGTCAACCAGATATCCTAAACTGATCGTCCCATTTGCCATCATTTGGCTCATGTCCTTCTAAAATCTTCCTATTCATGTACCTATCCAAATGCATTTTAAATGCTGTAATTGTACCAGCCTCCAACACTTCCTCTGGCAGCTCGTTCCATACACACACCACCCTCTATGTGAAAAAGTTGCCCCTCAGGTCCCTTTTAAATTTTTCCCCTCTCACCTTAAACCTGGCTACTCCCCCAATCCACGCCCGTCACGATTTTATAAACCTCCACGAGGTTACCCCTCAGCCTCCAACATTCCAGGGAAAAAAGCCCCAACCTATTCAGCCTCTCCCTATAGCCCAATTCCTCCAGATCTGGTAACATCCTTGTAAATCTTTTCTGAACCACCTCAAGTTAAACAATATCTTTTCTTTAGCCGGAAGACCAGAAGTGAACACAGTATTCCAAACAAAAACAAAGTTGCTGGAAAAGCCCAGGAGGTTTGGCAGCATCTGTGGAGGAAAACACAGAGTTAACGTTTTGGGTCTGGTGACCCTTCCTCAGAACTGCCACACGAACATCCCACCCACCCCTGTCTGCGACTACCTTCTGCCCCAAGTGTGGCAGAGCCTGTGGAAGCAACATCGGTCTGTACAGCCACCTATGGAATTGCCCTGAGAGTCCCTCATCTGCGAGGGAATTAATGAATGAAACTGAACTAAAAAACTAAGGCAAGACTGGTTTGCCTTAAATTAAAAAAGGATCCAGAATTTCAGGACTATCCTGCAGTGCAAACCCTCAATGTGAAATTCTGCTAAAAGAAAAATGAGTAAACTATAAACTAGAACTTCAAAATGTATGGGACTACTTTCTCTGAATAAGAAACAAATTTGAATTTTAGAAAGAGATGATTCAGCTCCATTCAATCCAAGAAAATTAATTGACTGGCTACCATTCAAAGTGAAACATACTATAGTGTTCTCCATAAACCTTTGAATCATGGAGTGCTTTGTTTATGCCAAGTCTTCTGAAATTTGAGTCCACATTATGAGAAACACTGGCTGTTACCAGAAGTGAAGTTATAGCAATGAATTAACATATCCATTGCCAGCTCTTCAAGCATTTTCACAGATCTATAGCCATGGATTTTTGTTTTGCACAAATCAAGAGAATCATAAAAGTAGCACAGTTTCATTTTTTGTTTTTTTTTTCTTAGTTCAGAAGAGAAGCAATAGCCTGAATAATACTTAGAAAACTGCTTGAAGTGCAGCCAGAGCAGAAGTGGGAAAGCAGAAGACCTTTTTGTTGTTACTAGTCATCTTTCTTCCTCGCTTTACCCTGACAGAGTTTTTCATAAAGCAAATTATTCAGACCTTCTTACCAATACAGCTTCACAACAAATTAGTGGTTTTGTAGCATAAAACTATTCCTGAGCATTAAATTAATCAGAATAACACCAACTGCTGCAAATCTAATTTTAAAACTTAACACTTAACAGATCCATCAGAAACTGAATTAGGACTATAAACAATGAAAACTCCACCAAACTTATCTCCAACTATCTGGACTCCACTTTCTCCCCCTTGGTGCAGGAACTCCCTACCTATGTCCGTGACACCACCCACGCCCTCCACCTCCTCCAGAACTTCCAATTCCCTGGTCCCCAACACCTCATCTTTACCATGGACGTCCAGTCCCTATACACCTGCATTCCCCATACAGATGGCCTAAAAACCCTCCGCTTCTTCCTGTCCCGCAGGCCCGACCAGTCCCCCTCCACTGATACCCTCATCCGCTTAGCCGAACTCGTCCTCACCCTCAACAACTTCTCTTTCAATTCCTCCCACTTCCTACAGACAAAGGGGGTGGCCATGGGTACCCACATGGGCCCAAGCTACACTTGCCTCTTTGTAGGTTATGTGGAACAATCCCTCTTCCGTACCTACACTGGCCCTAAACCCCACCTCTTCCTCTGTTACATTGATGACTGTATCGGCGCCGCCTCGTGCTCCCACGAGGAGCTCGAGCAGTTCATGCGCTGCACCAACACCTTCCACCCCAACCTTAAGTTCACCTGGACCATCTCTAACACCTCTCTCCTCTTTCTGGACCTCTCGGTCTCCATCTCGGGCAACCACCTAGCAACCGATATCCATTTCAAGCCCACCGACTCCCATAGCTACCTAGAATACTCCTCCTCCCACCCACCTTCCTGCAAAAATGCCATCCCCTATTCCCAATTCCTTCGCCTCCGCCGCATCTGCTCCCAGGATAAGGCATTCCACTCCCATACATCTCAGTTGTCCTCGTTTTTCAAGGACTGCAACTTCCCCCCCCACAGTGGTCGAGAACGCCCTCAACCGTGTCTCCCACATTTCCCGCAACTCATCCCTCACACCCCGTCCCCGCAATAACAACCAAAAAAGAATCCCCCTCGTCCTCACGTACCACCCCACCAACCTCCGGATCCAACGCATCATCCTCCGACACTTCTGCCATCTGCAATCCGACCTCACCACCAAAGACATCTTTCCCTCCCCACCCTTATCTGCTTTCCGGAGGGACCACTCTCTCCGTGACTCCCTTGTCTGCTCCACACTCCCCTCCAGCCCCACCACACCCGGCACTTTTCCCTGCAACCGCAGGAAGTGCTACACCTGTCCCCATACCTCCTCCCTCACCCCTATCCCAGGCCCCAAGAAGACTTTCCACATCAAGCAGATGTTCACCTGCACATCTGCCAATGTGGTATACTGCATCCGCTGTACCTGTTGTGGCCTCCTCTACATCGGGGAAACCAAGCGGAGGCTCGGGGACCGCTTTGCAGAACACCTACGCCCAGTTCACAATAAACAACTGCACCTCCCAGTCGCGAACCATTTCAACTCCCCCTCCCATTCCTCAGACGACATGTCCATCCTGGGCCTCCTGCAGTGCCACAACGATACCACCCGAAGGTTGCAGGAACAGCAACTCATATTCCACTTGGGAACCCTGCAGCCCAATGGTATCAATGTGGATTTCACAAGTTTCAAAATCTCCCCTCCCCCTACTGCATCCCAAAACACATCCAGCTCGTCCCCGCCTCCTTAACCTGTTCTTCCTCCCACCTATCCCCTCCTCCCACCTCAAGCCGCACCCCCATCTCCTACCTACTAACCTCATCCCGCCCCCTTGACTTGTCCATCCTCCCTGGACTGACCTATCCCCTCCCTAACTCCCCACCTACACTCACCTTTACTGGCTCCATCCCCGCCTCTTCGACCTGTCTGTTTCCTCTCCACCTATCCTCTCCTCTATTCATCTTCTATCCGCCTCCCCCTCTCTCCCTATTTATTTCAGAACCCCCTTCCCCTCCCCCATTTCTGATGAAGGGTCTAGGCCCGAAACGTCAGCCTTTCTGCTCCTATGATGCTGCTTGGCCTGCTGTGTTCATCCAGCTCTGGACCTTGTTGTCTCTAAAACTTACATGAATATTTCCCAAATATTTTTCTTGATATATATTTTGATGCAAAATAAACAATATTTTTAAGAAAATACTGATCAGGCTGGAAAAAAGAAAGACAGATGTGTGACCTGATAGGGATCCTTAAGATGAAACAGGGGCTTTGAGAGGGTACAAACAGTAAAAGTATTTCTGCTTGTAGGGAGACTAAAACTAGGAGCTATAAATCCAAGATTGTTTCTAATAAATTCAACAAAATGTACCAGAAAATTTTTTTTCCATCAGCAAGTGGTTAGAATGTGGAATATGCTACATGGAGAAAGTCACTAAGGAAAGTAGTATAGAGCTATACAAGGAAAGTGTGTCTGTTCCCAGAGAAAAAATGGTTGCCATAACCTGTTGCACTGTGATAGAATGTACTTAGGTAGATGTAGTTGATTTATAGGAGTCGGAGATACACGATGTTTTAACTCATCTGATCCATGTTCTCCATCCTCGCAGCTGATTTACAACATTTATGTTAATTCTCTTTAATACCACTTGTGCAGAAAATGTTGAGCACAGAAATGATTAATTTGTTTTAAAAGTCACTAGTGATCATTTAGGACTGTGTAACTAACGACTCGGCTCTCTTCTACATCGCATACCAAATCGCTGACCAGCATTGATTCTCAAAAATATGTTGAAGTGTCAATTTAGATTTTCCCTTTCAACACTTCGCTAAATACAGTGGGAGATGCCGCCAAGCTACCTTATGGGACCTGTACATTAATTGAACTGCTGCTCACAACTGAAATACCCTGCTCTGCAGACGTGATGCCCATAAATACAGCCATTAAGGAAACACCAGGTAAACATGAGTGGAGAAAGAAATAGAAGCTTCTGCTGATAAGGTTAGATGAAGGTGGATGGCGCTTTGGTGCCTGAACGATTTGGATGAAATGGCTTGCTTCTGGTGTTCTACATAATTCCCATCAATCAGCATGTTAAAATTAAATGGTTACATACCTTTGTGAAACAGATCTTGTAGGCATTCTGCACTCTGACTTAATACAGCCCAGATCTCCTCTTCTTCTAGTGATCCTCCCCGAACCTCCAGGGCCTCGGCCAATGAGACATGCATTTTACCTAATAACAAGAAGAAAATCAATTAAGAGTTACATTGATATGTTCATACTGTTCTATGTTAAAACACAAAACAGAATGCCGACAAATATATGGGAGATGTTCTGGACTAGAAATCCAACCCTAGACTAATGTTCTGAGGACACAGGTTCAATTCCCACCATTGGAGACAATGAAACCTGAAGGAAAATGGCAGCCATTGTCAATTGTCATTACAACCCATCTGGTTCACTGGTCTGTGAAAGGTAATCTGCTGTTTTTACTTGCATTGGCCTACATGTTGCTGTGGTTTGGAGTCACATGCCCTTGGGAAATTAGGGGTGGGCAATAAATACCAACAACACTCACATCCCATGAACAAATTAAAAAAAGGAGCAAGGAAAAGGTATTCAGTCCAAGATCAGACAGGCTCCTTATCAGAGCTTGGTCTGAAAAGTATACTTTCTTTCTGTAAACCAAAGGAACAGATTATGCTGTAGAAATAATGAGGAGGCTATCAGTGCTCCTTGGTTGCTCAATACCGGTCGATAGCCATCATATATACCAACTAGACTCACCAGAATCAACCAGTTCAACATTAGTCATGGGAACGATAATGGAATCCTTAATCAAGAGTAGAAAATATCTAGACATTGGATTTAATATGCAGCAGTCAACAGGAATTCCATTAGGTGTTCATGCTTGATCAACCTTATTCAATTCTTTGCAAAAGCGACAGCAAGAGTGAATAAAGTTAATGCAGTAGGGTCCTCAGAGTAAGAGAGTGTCATAGAGTCCTAAAGCACGGAGACAGGCCCTTTGGCCCAAACTGGTCCATGCCGACCATAATGTCCATCCACGCTAAGCCCATTTCCCTGCACTTGGCCCATATCCTTCTAAATTTTTTCCTATCCATGTATTTGTCCAAATGCCTTTTAAATGTTGTTAATGTACCCACCTCAACCACTTCCGGTGGCAGCTCATTCAATCTGCAAACCACCCTCTGTGTAAAAAAAAAAAGTTGCTTCTCAGGTTCCCATGTATTCTTTCCCCTTCTTACCTTAAACTGATGCCTTCTTGTCCTCGATTCCCCGACTCTGGGAAAAAGACTGAGTGCATTCACCCTATCCATACCTCTCACGATCTTATACACTTCTATAAGATACCCCCTCAGTCTCCTATGCTCTAAAGAAAAATGCCCTAGCTTGTCCAACCTCTCCCTACAACTCAGTCCCTCGAGTCCTGGCAACATCCTTGTAAATTTCTTCTGCACTTTTTCCAGTTTAATAACAACCTTCCTATAGCAAAACTGAACACAATACCTCAAGTGCAGCCTCACCAATGTCATGTACAACTGCATCATAACTTCACAACTTCTATACTCAATACCTTGACTGATCAAGGCCAGTGTGCCAAAAGCCTTCTTCACTGCCCTATCTACCTGTGACTCCACTTTCAGAGAACCACGCACCTGTACTCCAAGGTCCCTCTCTTCCACTAAACTCCTTCAGGCATTACCATTCACTATCAAACTCCTACCTGGATTTGATTTTCCAAAATGCAACACCTCATACTTACCTATATTAAACTCCATTTGCCATTTCTCAGCCCACTTGCCGAGCTGATCAAGATCCTGCTGCAATTTCTAATAACCTTCCGCACTGTCCACGGTACCACCTATTTTAATGTCATCCACAAACTTACTAATCATGCCTTGTACGTTCTCATACATTCTCATCCAAATCGTTGATATAGATAACAAACAGCAATGGGCCCAGCACCAACCCCTGAGACACACCAGTAGGCACAGGCCTCCAGTCAGACAAGCATCCTTCCAATATTATTCTCTGCTTCGTACCATCAAGCCAATCATGTATTCAATTTACCAGCTCTCCCTGGATTCCATGTGATCTAATCTTCCAGAGCAGCCTACCATGTGGAACCTTATCAAAATCCTTACTGAAATCCATATAGACTACGCTGACCACCCTGCCCTCATCAACCTTCCTGGTCACTTCATCAAATAACACTAACAAAATGGTGAGGCATTATCTCCCACACACGAAGCCATGCTGACTATGCCTAATCAAACCCGTCTTTCCAAATGCACGTGTATCTTATCCCTCAGAATCTTCTCAAGTAACTTACTTACCACAGACGTTAAGCTTACTGGTCTATAATTCCCAGGTTTCTCTTTGCAGCCCTTCTTGAATAAGGACATAACATAACATTCGCTACCCTCCAGTCTCCTGGGACTTCGCTCATGACTAATAATGATACAAATATAATCAGCCAGGGCCCCTGCAATTTCTTTCTTAGCATCTTGCAGGGTTCTTGGAAATATCTGGTCAGGACCAGGAGATTTATCAACCTTCGTACATTCTAACACTTCCAAAACCTCCTGTATTGTGATATGGACAATCCCCAAGATATCACCACTAACTTCCTCAAGTTCCCTAGTCTCCAAAACTAGAAGTCATAGGTTTAAGATGAGATGGGAAAGATTTGAAAGGGATCCGAGGGGCAACTTTTTTTTATACGCAAAGGGTGGAGCATGTATGGAATGAGCTGCCAGAGGAAGTGATGGAGGCTAGTACAATTACAGCATTTAAAACGCATGGGTATATGAATAGGAAGGGTTGTGAGGGATATGGGCCAAATGCTGGCAAATGGAACTAATTAAGTTGTCTGGTCAGCATGGACAAGTTGTACTAAAGGGCCTATTTTCATGCTGTACAGCTCTATGACTCAATGGTTTTCTGCAAAGATTGGTGTGCAACTAACTTTGTTCTCAATTTAAAGAAGTGATTCGTCAGCTCAAATCCTAAGTAAAGTCACAAAATCTGAGGACAACAAATTTTGGCAAATAATTAGTGTGAGACAAAATATAGGCTGACATTAATAAACGTGAAGAATGGGAGATGTAATTAGCAAATGAACTCTGGTTCAGATAAGTCATAGATGGCAGATCTCATTAAGAAAAACAAGAAAGCATGTTTTTTTTAAACCGGAGCAGAGGATCAGGAGGTGCAGCTCACAAATCACTAAGTTACAACATTGGTTGATAAAGCAGTAAAAGAAACAAGCATTTCTCACCGCCAGGATTTCATAAACATAGCAAGTGTTAAAACACAAACAGGACCCCCTCTTAGAGCACCCTGAACTAATTCATCTCCATATTGTAAAAAAAGGACACAGAATTATAAACAAACAGAAAGATCTTGTTTTTATGAAGAGTAGTTAAAATACATATATTGATGAAGTTAAATGGAGATTAGATAATTACACGTCAACATAGTAGAAGTATCTGTCAATGGGGGTTGGGTAAAGTAAGGGAGGAGTCCAGCATATGCACATTCTGCTAAATGAATTGTTTGTTTCTGTCCGATCGATATTTCATAATAATTTCGAAATCGTTAGGGCTTGTCAAACCTGCTAAAAATGTTTTAATGGTGAAATGCGTCCCACTTGCTGACACAAAACAAATTTTAGATATACAGAGGCTTATTCCTTCCAATTTTTAAATTATTGTTGGGGATTTCTAAAAGCAAAGTTACATTTTGACTTTGCAACTTACTTCTGCCTCTTCAATCTCTTTACAAAGACTCTTCATTGTTGTAATTTATTTTGTATCAAATTAAACATGCTAACTGACACATACTGGCTCAGACTCAGAGTGACTGCCTGTGATTCTTTGATATAATCCGTGAAAGGTGATAGAATTACCTATTCTGTTCACACAGGTCCCAGATGTTAAGTAGAGGGTGCTGCACCAAAATGCTGTTCTAATTATATTTACATTTAGTACAAACCTCAAAGAAAGTCTTTGGCCAAGTTCAAATTTAATGAACATCTGGCACATCTGCTCATAAATGAGTGTGAAATCTGGCCCCATGTCTATGTACCAATCCCCAAAGTTAAAAATGATTCACTTCCTTTAGAAAGCCTGAAAGCACTCAATATTTACTGTATCAGTAGTCGGAGTACAATTAACAGCATTTGCATATTAAAGCAACCTTGTATGGAACTTCACCTTCCACAGCTGGTGCAGTAATACAAATAGAGTAACCGCAGCTGACTGCTGGCACTATTCTTGGCAATTAATCACTTGATGCAAAACAGCAGCAGGATCGGACATCAAAATATTCTGACTAACGTACTAAGGTACCTTGTAAAAGTGAAACTTTCTCAAGAAAACACAAAAGAATTACAAAACCACCTCCATTTCCTGAGTATTATTTTGCTTATCTTGCAATAATACAAGTGGTTAGATATTTAGCTGGATAACTGGTTTGAGATGCAGAGTGATGCCAGCAGCGTGGGTTCAATTCCTGCATGGACTGAGGTTACCTTGAAGAACACTCTTTCTCAATTTTTCCTCTCACCTGAGGCACAATGACCCCCACCACCAATGTGTCTACCTATGGCAACTTTACCGTTCTGAATAGAACGGAATTGAATTTTACAGCGTGGAAATAGTCCATTGTGCCCAACAAATTCACTGATTCTCCGAACAGCATCCCACCCAGACTCACCCCCCTTCCCTATCCCTGTAACCGTGCATTTCCCACGGGCAATGCACCTTAACTACACATCCCTGGACACAATGGGCAATTTAGCATGGCCAATCCACCTAACATGGACATCTTTGGACTATGAGAGCAAACCGGAGGAAACACACGCAGACACGGGGAGAATATGTAAAAATCAGGTCTGAAGAAGGGCCTAAATCAGTACCGTCATTAAAAAGATAAGGTCAAAAGGTTAGCTGCTAGGGCTTTTGTTTTCACACCATTTTACATTGTTTAACTTGTGGACCATCAGACTTGGAATGAGTTCTGTTAATGCCGTTGCTTTATTAGCGAATGAATCCGAAATCAGACCAGCATCAGACACTCACTCAGATTGCATGGAACCTAATGGAATTGAGGATTTAATAAGGAGCCTCTAAGTTTCATAGTGTACAATTATCTGGCCAACAACAACAGATACCTTCCAAATTCCTGCTCTAAAGAGGGTAGAGA